GTCAGTACCTGTTGTTGACCAACAGGGGGCGCTGTAATCATGTTTGTGGGTCAGTACCTGTTGTTGACCAACAGGGGGCGCTGTAATCATGTTTGTGGGTCAGTACCTGTTGTTGACCAACAGGGGGAGCTGTAAGTGTAGTTTTCATGTGACAGTTTGGTGCAAACCTGGTCCTGGAGGTCCACCATCATGATTTACTTGTTTCTCTGCTCCAACACCTGGTTCAGTGTTGGATTACTCTTCAATCACATTCATTTAAATCAGGTGTGTTGGAGAAACAAATATGCAGCAGAGTGACCCATGAAAAGGATTAACTCCTGGATTAAATTAACTAATCCAAAGATAATTTATGTAAATGTTAAACCAAACTTCTGACTTTTCATTCTCGAGCAAATTTAGTTTTTTTTCTGAGACACGTGTCAAGACCTGAGTCAAGCTGCATCATTTTGAGCACTAAAAACATCCTGATAAACTGTGTCTCCTGGATCGAGTGAATTTAATTGTGTTTGGAGGAGAAGTATAAATATATACCATTCTGACACACTATTAGCTTGTACACTTATTTATTTAGCATTTATCTCCAGTGAGGATGAGACGGTGCAGAAAAAGATAACCTGGAAGTAAACTGTGGAGATGAACGCAGACGTTAGGAATGTGACCCCTTTAACCCCCACCAGTTAACTCCCCAGTGGAAACTCCAGGAAACCATCACGGCCCAGGATGTATTTCTACATAGAAACCATCCTCACCCCATCAGGGTCTGCTGGGACCAATGGGGACTGCAGCAGACCACCAGTTTACTGTCTGACATCTGTCCAGGATCTGAACACCTTTAGAGCAGAGGTCTGCAAAAAGAGCCGTTTCTGCTATATGACGCCCCAATAAAATGTGTCCAGAGACACAAAACAAGCTTACCAACTGNTGCACTACTGCTACTAGTGGTGAGAAAGTGTATTACACCTTATTTAAAATCAATGTGGTCCCACGGCCCTCTGTGGTCCAAAGTTAAAAACTGTTGTTCTTCTGAGGCCCTGAAGGTGGCGCTGTGGCCCACAGGTTAAGAATCTCTGCTTCAGATCTTAGTGGACCAGTGAGCCACACTGGAAGCAGTGAAGTTTTGCTCGGGRACACTTGGACATGTACCTACACACTGCCAGGAGTCAAACCTCGTGGGAAACATTGTGTCGTTGTTAGGATGTGCTTGATGTGTGTTAACAGCACAATGATTTGTTTTGTGTTTTCAGGAAGCTGTGAGGAACGGGCTGGTGGCCACTGAGGTGCTGACGTGGTTCTTCATCGGAGAGTGCATTGGAAAAGGAGGCATTGTTGGCTATGATGTCTGATTTTTAACACTCTTTCACTGTTTGAGCGTTGTCTGCTCTGTTTCATGTAAGAAACCTGGAATCAATAAACAGATTTCTGTTTGTGTTGAGCTGATTGCCTTATTGTGTTAATTTGTTACCTGCCAACATGTTAAATTAGATAAAACTGAGAGCTTTTAAGCAGTGAAATACACGTAAAGAGAGCATTTTGACTTGTAATGACAGGGAAAGTTTGAATAATATTCACTGGTTTTGTTTTTGTTGCTTTTTGTTTACAAATGTAAGGTTTTATTAAAACATTAAGATTTTATACTTCATGGAAAATTATCAAACCCATTTTTCAGACAAGTGGTCAGTAGAGGAACACTTTTTCTTTAGTTGTTACTATCTTTTTTAACTTATGAGCAACCAAACTTCATGTGAAGACATCCAGTCCAGAACCAGGCTCATGTGTTGTGGTTCACTGCCTGTTGTTGACCAACAGGGGGCGCTGTAGTCATGTTTGTGGGTCAGTACCTGTTGTTGACCAACAGGGGGCGCTGTAATCATGTTTGTGGGTCAGTACCTGTTGTTGACCAACAGGGGGCGCTGTAATCATGTTTGTGGGTCAGTACCTGTTGTTGACCAACAGGGGGCGCTGTAATCATGTTTGTGGGTCAGTACCTGTTGTTGACCAACAGGGGGCGCTGTAATCATGTTTGTGGGTCAGT